ACGTCGTCTGCGCGAAGTGTCTCGGAACGCCTGCGTTTCCTCTCGCCGCGGGGAGACCTTTCCCGGCCTCTGGGGCAAAGACATGACGCTTCTATGGATTCAGAAAGACCTTGTCAGTGACCCTGACTGGTATCCATCGAGATCTGACAGAACAGGATTGGAAAATACTGTGCCAAAGACACTCACCTTTACTGACTAGCGAGCATGAATGGACTTGAAATTTTCGAATGTATCGCAGTAGTTGAGCGCCTTTTCAAGGGGCTAAGTTACAAGATGTGGGGGACTGCCAGAGTCGCGATATATATCTGTCGCGCACTGAGTCCGCAATGTCCTCCTTTCTGTTGAATACTATAAGCGACTCTCTGAAGGCTTATAATAACGCAGAGCGATTAATCCAAATAGGAAGTCGAATGTTGTCAACGATCGTGGATTGTCGAGTGTGAGCGAGGGCTGAGGATAATTTGCTGCTGACAGACCGCTGGAGAATTGACCCGATCAGAAGTCCTCCTATTATTCAAGCGAGTGACTAAACCCGGTCAAGACAGCATATTGAGGATCGCAGTCGAGAGCGGAGATGGGAGTATGCAACGAAAAGAACGAAGCGGAAATTTGGGAAGAAAGCGCCCCGTGTTGAAAAGAGATTACTGGAGAGGTTTGGACGGTTGGGCCATGGAAGACATCGATGGCAGGCGATCGAAGATGGTGCGATGCGGATCAGGCTGGCCAGAACAAGAAGGGGTAAAGAAAAATACGGCCAACCACTACGACGGAGGGGACTTACACCATACCTTAGGTACACTACCTACTAAAGGAAAATTGGGAGGGTCCTCCGCAGTGCATAAGGTACCCTTGGAACTGGAGCAACCTTAAGTATTTGTACAAGGTGAAGCGCTTTCATTTGTGAGTATGCGACTGATTTCTGTTCTGTACAATCAATACTGCAATAGATATTCTCCCTTGCCTGCTTACTCAACAGGCATCACGAAATCATCGTGAAATTGCGACCTGTGTTATATTCTCATTATCTAAGGCCCCGAACAAGCGTCTTTCACCCGCAGTCAATCAGAAGATTTAGCGAAATGAACAGTCATAAAATGATCATAAAAGTCATGCTGGAGTCTACCTAGTACATACTACTGTATCTGGGACACCGGGCTAGAGGCGGTAGTGCTGCGACCTTAGCAGGCTTCTCCAATTATTGTACACAAATAAGAGCCATGTGCTCCGTCGCTAGGGGCAATCTATTATTACTAAGCCTCTTTTAGGTCTAGTTGKTCTGCTAAGGGTTGACTTACAATAGCGTTGATTGGTTATATCACTGGAAGAAATATAACCTAGCCATATATGGGAAAGCTTGAAGATGTTAAGCGAATCATACAAAGCCTGGTCTTTTTGAGTTTCCCTGGTCCCTGCTCCAAATGATCTAAAATTGAAATTTCCAAGGGTCACCACTCCGGAGGGCACCAAAAAATGAGTCGAGTAGAGTCGGTCCTGGACTTTGCTGAAGATGTATTTCATCTCCGTAGTTCATTGCTGAGACATGCTCCAGCAACGCGCAGGAAATATTGGAAGAAGACAACTTCAATACTCCATGCGTCAGACATGTTGTCTGAGACATTGACCTTATGCATGTAAAACTGTACTGGACTGTGACTGGTACATCTTAGCCACCTCAACGGGGAGTATTCTATTTTCAGATACAGCACAAAGTTAAAACGTAGAACAGCCTAGCCTGAGCTTGTTGGGTCAGATATGCTAAGAAACCACTGTCACACAACAGTTTTGTCAAAGCCAGCGGACAAGATTTTCAAAGCAAATCCAAGGAGGAAGCAATTATTATACATTCCCACGCACTGAATCAGAGATAGAATGGATTCCTTTTCGCAATATACAGACTACATGTAGCCGTGTGGGTGCCCCCGTCGACCTAAAATGTCTCGGCTGCATGTCTGAAATATCCGCCTGACCCGATGACTCGGCCTGGGTTCCGAACCATGCCAATGCGCAGTTGTATTCGCGAGATTACCTATCCATCACCTCATCAAGAACTTGACTTGGTAGATTGTTACACATTACATGCTATCCATGTGTTGCTATTCATGTATGATGATCGCAGTATTAATCTGCTATGTGACTAAAGTACTACAATAGGTAAAGCCTAGGTACTGTTCAGTTACCAGAAGTGCATCTCCACAGGAAGAGCAAGACTCTATACAACTTTCTGAAAATCGCTTCCTGTTATCTACGCCTAGTTCAGGGGCCTTGTGGCGGTGCTACAGCTTGAGTCTTACAAATGATGGATTTGTTGCCACATTGCTGAACATTTCAATTGTCTGGATTTTCTGTGATTTCTAGTCAACTCCATATACCTAGCTATCTCCTCTCTTTGTTAATCGTCAAGACTCAAGACTTTACCAAGCAGTGAGGGTTCTCATGGTTTCAACTATCATATCATAATATGATCCATATGTGCACAAGCCCTGTAAAGAGCTCACATGCAGAGTATCGATCCCAAGTTCATAAGAAGTAAGTAGACTATCAATCCTGCAGTCGTTAGTATTTAGTGGTGCCATGAGCTCGATTGACTCGACGCCTACTCACCAATAGCAAGTCTAGCTCTCAGGAACTTGGATGATGACACTTGCATTACAGATCCTCACGACTGCTCGTCGCTCTCATTGCTCAATGTCTTCGGAATACCGATTGTGGGGAACTCGGGTCCGTGGTTCAGCACTGAGAACCCGACACAACGCGGTGAGTCCGATGCCATGTATATGATACTGATCATGAGCTCTGCAGTACCATTTTCCCTACTTACGCTGTACAATCAGACGGCAATGCATTGATATGTAGGGAAGCAAATTGGTTATCATATACTGCAGGTCTCTATAGTCCCTGTAGTGGTCATGTCCTCTCCGACATTGGTCCTTCATCTGCCAGAGACACATCATCGGAATCTCATTTTGGGTACTTTTAAGCGATGCTGAGACCAATAATGTCGTTTTTCGTTAAGGATGCCTGGAGGGTCCTCTTACGCCAAAGTGTAGGAGATGACAAGGCTGAGGCGGAAATACGAGGCGGCTGAGGGTGCGGTGAGGATGTCTATCTCCACCTCACCATCGCAGTAATTTTTGCAGCTTGTGGTCTGGGAATAAGTGAACAAACCTTGGCTGCGCGGGAGTATTTCTGAACTGTATATCCGCGAGGTATTTTTCGACTTTGAATTCAGAATGGGTGGGAATGAGGAATCCAGACCAGGATCATTAAACCTCTGGCTCCGCGAATGTTGTACGGGAAGGACTCGGCAAGGATTGGAGCATCGTCATTGTGAAAGCTCCACGCCGCAGGCTGTTTTTATGTTGATTTGGACTGATGAGCCGCATTCTAGCGTTTAGGCTTGAGTCCGACTATCCTCCATGTTTTTTATGTCTGTCCCTTTGTCGAATAGATCTCCAGTTGTTCTTATGTGAACGTCTTTGATTAATGCGACCGCCTAAATCGACCTTGCGCATGGGGATCCATCATCCCTTGTTTTTCAAAAAATACTTGGAAGTCGTAACCTACAGTTAAAACAAGATCAAAATCATAGTGTACTCTCAAGCCTGTAACTCTGTACGACCTTTGACGTTGCTGTTTCATCATAGCCCGAGTGCCTTAAGATACAACAAATGAAACCATGGAAAACCCCTTAGTTGTCCAGGGCGGATGTCCAGAAGGTTCAACACTATTGGCTGGTCTGTGGTAATCATTGATTTCGTAGCATTACCTCCACTCGGCACGGCATACTCCGTACGGAGCCACTGCCACCAGAGACAGCTGTCTTTTCCTTGAAGCACATTATTATTGATGTCACTACTCAAGTAATATCAAGATATAATGCAGATTATTCAACCGATACTATTTTTGCCCCTGTAGCCTAAATCTTCGGGGTTCAGGCTTATGTTCTCCGTAGTCCACGGATGAATATTTGCATTTCGATCTAGGCTCTTAGCGCTCTGTAATAATAAGTAATAATAATACTCCTATCCCTTTCAAACGACAAGTCTCAGACCCTTAATCCAGAAACAAAACCAACATTCAGATGATTCTGGGATATTCAATGAGTCCACTGATATTTACACCTCGTTCGATCTGTTTCCAGCCGAGCCAAGATGAGAAAGAAGATGATGGAAGGAGAAAGACAAGCTGAAGATTAGGTAGAGACTGAGAAAAATACCACAATCCCACATGACCAATTCCAGTGTGCTCAGGTGGGGTTTTCATGACTCTTTTCTGCTGCTTTCTTTGAATCCAATAATACTTCTGTCTGCCCAAGGTAGGTACCGTCCACTGGTAAAGGTAATACCCAGATCAATACGGGGCGGAACCGGTCCAAAGCAGCAGCTAATAATCAGACTAGAGCCATTTATGGAGTTGGACTCTTCATATTCGCCCACTTGGTGCATCTCTCTGAGCGTCTTCTTTTCTCCAAAAAAAGTAGAGATTCCTTCGCTCAGTCAGGCAATTGAGATTTTTGCTTGGCTTTCTAGCTTCAACTCTAGACTTCACTCTTCAGATTTGCATCTTCACCTCATTCCCGCTGTATCCTAGATATTCCCTGAGACAAATATACGGAAATCCAACCATCCAGCCTCTCCCTACTGTTGACAGGTTCGGAGTACTTACTACTACTGCGAGGCAGTGGACCCAACCCCGAGCCCCCTCTAGTCGACCCTTTACTTCTCCACGATCCTGGGTTCATCCCCAGGACACTGTACAGATCTTCACTCGGTCGCTATCACTGCAATTTGCACCATATAATACGCAATCACGAGCCCGACCCTCAATCACGATTACTGCACATTCGCTTGACCAAGTCTCGATGCCTGCGGATCTCTAAGCCCCCTCCACCTTCGATCACCCCTCGCTCCAGATCAATTTGACAGTCTTCTGAACAGACGGCAATACAGGAATCTTGTCTCCTGTCTTTGCCGCCACATAATCTGTCTCTCAGGGAAAAAATGGCAAGCTCGGTAGCAGGCGAATACCCTCAACCGATCTCGTCCCCTCCCCCGGTCTATCTTCGATCATCTCCCCCACTTTCGCCGTCTCAGAGTCAATCGACCCCCAGGTCGATACCCCAACAGCGCGCCACACAACACATTGCACGGAAGGCGTTGCCCGGTTCTCGATCTGAAAATGAATCTACTCCAGTTCCGCCGGTCTATATTCACGATGACATGAATTTGCCGCAACCGTCCAACATGGTTCTCGAAAGTGCTCGCGACGGTCGTGCCGGGAATTCTATCCCCACCACTGCTTTAGCCAATATGTCGCTTGAGGATCAATCGCAGAATCTCCAGAACAGCAATGGAGCATTTCCACCACGCCGAGACTCCTACGCCCCTCCACCAGCCCCAGGATCGAGGAGAGCCGGGCATACGCCGGCTAGCAGCGGTTCCTGGTCTGTCATAGACAACCAGCTCAAAGATGAGATGAATTGTCCTATCCAGCCTTCTTCAGACCCTGCAGTTCCCAATGGTAGCCAGAACAACTCCTCCCGGGGCAGCTTGGACAGTGAGGCACGCCCCGAGAACTTCGAGCCCTTACACTATCATCACCGACCGTATCGTAACTCCAATATCGCACTCAAGTCGCCATCTGGTGCCGCTTCAGTCGAGAATCTGTCCGGCTCCAACGGTCATCTCTCAACGAGACGGCCTGGTATGCCACGGCCCAACTCAACATACTCCTTTGTCTCGGAAATGGGCGGCGATGGTCGGAACTTGTCGCCCGGTGCTTCTCCCTACCTCCACGCACGCGCTTCACCGAGGAATTCCTCGTCCCCCGATGTCCGTCCACTCTCTTTTGTCGATCTCCTCAACACCGCCTATCCTCAGCCAGGTCCGACTCCCGGGCAACTGGACAACTCCCATCTCAAATCCTGGGTGGGCAACAATGCCTCCTTGCTCAGTCACAAACAGACCTTTGATATGTATCTCGCAAATTTGAAGAAAACGGATGACCCCGCGGTACAATATGAGTTCGCTGTGTTTATGGTCAACGCGATGCTGGAAATGCCGCCGGACGATCATGAAGCACGCAAGGACGCAGTGTATGGCCAAAAAGGGGCGGGAATCTCTCGGGAAGGTCTCCTCAAAGAAGCCAAGTCGATCTTTCAACGTCTGGCCGACCGTAGCTATCCGTTCGCGCAGTACTACTTGGCGGATGGATATGCATCCGGACTCTTCAGCAAGGGCAAGGAAGACTATGACCGAGCATTCCCCCTGTTCTTGGCCGCGAGTAAGCATGGTCACGTCGAGGCCTGCTACCGTACCGCCCTCTGTTATGAATTCGGCTGGGGAACGAGGGTAGAAGCGGCTAGAGCGCAACAGTTCTACCGCCAAGCTGCCTCCAAGAATCATCCTGGGGCCATGCTGCGCATGGCCAAGGCCTGTCTGGCGGGCGACATGGGTCTAGGCAAACGGTATCGGGAAGGAATCAAATGGTTAAAGCGAGCGGCGGAATCCTCTGACGCCCAGTACAACTCTGCGCCTTACGAACTCGGCCTCCTCCACGAAACGGGATTCGGCGACGATGTCTTTCCTGATCCGGCCTATGCAGCTCAGCTGTTTACCAAGTCAGCGGATCTAGGCCATGCCGAGGCGAGCTATCGCCTCGGAGATGCGTATGAGCATGGCAAGTTGGCCTGTCCTCGAGACCCTGCATTGAGCATCCACTTCTATACCAGTGCCGCACAAAGCGGGCATGTCTTGGCGATGATGGCCTTGTGTGCTTGGTACCTGGTAGGCGCGGAGCCTGTTCTGGAGAAGGACGAAGGCGAGGCCTATGAGTGGGCCAAGCGAGCTGCAGAACTTGGTATGTGCGCACACGAACTCGAGCGGTTAATTTACTAACTTCCTGCGTAGGACTGGCGAAAGCGCAGTATGCTGTCGGATACTTCACAGAGATGGGCATTGGCTGCCGTCGTGATCCATTGGAGGCCAACGTCTGGTATGTGAGAGCGGCGGATCAGGGCGACGAACGCGCAAAGCATCGCATTGCCACGATCCAAGCTGCCGCCGAGGGCAAGAGCCCTGCGCGGAATGGAAAAGAAGGGCAAAAAGAGAATCAGAAGTCTCTAGGTACGTTCTACTACCATTCGTGCTGCCTCAAGCTAATCCATGGAACAGATGCCGGAAAGTCTGGCAAATCTAAACGGTTCACTATTTTCTAAGAAAGCATGACGATCAGTATTTACGACAAGCCTTATCCATCGGTCGATTCTCAAATGTCTATATGCTCTACATCACTATGGGATTAATACATAATGCGGATACTACATAAACATTTCGTCGACCCTGACTGCCGCCTGAGGTTCTGGCAAGGGTTACAGCGTTTAGCGCGCCTCGATACAGCTATGTTGTGGGGACTTCCGATTTTTCTGCTCTGGCAGCCGAACACTTGTTTGAACTACTCACTTATGGAACTCGAACAAACATTGCATCTTATCAGTCATTGGTCATTCATGTACAACGAGCCGCATCCTTGAGACTTTCAGTAGAGGATGAGCCCTACCATCATTCTGTATCTCTTGCAAGCATCTTGTTGCCATCAATCTCTTTACTTTCTCCCATCCATCGCTTATGCTTGATTTTTTCGGCGTATGGCAATGCTGCACAGTTCATTAGCGGGTTTCATTGGGCGTTTGAACATTGCGCATGATTCTTCTTGATTACTTTGTTGAACCATTCAACAAGCCATAAACCTGGAGGTCTTTGAGATATTCATTAGGCTGGTATCAGAGATATGCAATGCATTTGGGAATTGTCAGTACACCATTCTCTTGGAGCTATACGTAGTGTAGGTGACGAGCTGCAGTACGTTCAATAGTCCTGGTCAGTCCCAGTACCTGTTGTGATGTCATGGTGAACATGCTGTGGGACCTCATGAGTAACCTCTCAACGACTCTTTTATGACCGTGGCGTGTTTCTTACATGAAGATGCATTGATCGTAGTTCATGGTGTCGCATGTTAGACAGCCATCATTGTATCTGGGTCTATTCTGCGCCATCCACTCAGCTAAACTGATGGCAAAGAACTCAGCATCCGCAATGCAGAATGTCAAGACTACCTAATCATCTCGTACACGCGAGTCAGATCCTCCCCCGTACATCAAGCCGCCGCCCCTGCCGTCATTGTGCCTGCATCAAAGCAAGTGCAGACTGTGGGTAATGGCCAACCAGTCTAGGCAACAGAGCGGATCCAGGATATACCACCAGCCATGGAATAATATAATCCAACCTCTAGGCTAGCATGATTTCCCCTGGACATAGTCTACCCCTGTCACTCTTTCTTGGTATGGAGAACCCAGTATCCAACTCATGTCGTCGGCAGCTCAACGTGGTACACAATACCCACAGCCAGTGCCCCGGCGTCCAATAACAAGGTGTACGGACACCGTCCTGCAGATCAGTGATCACTGATCAACAGCGCGACAGCTGATCCCGCCGATTGTGTTTCAGGTTGCTGCGTCGCTTCCAAAAATACAGAGGACAGGGCGAGAGTCACAGTCAGAGACAGAGACAGCCCAGGCTTGCTCCTCCATTGAGTAAGGTACCGTAGCCGACCTCCTGATTTCATTCAGTGTGACAAAATGGTACATAACCTACTGCTCTGCTCAGCCTCCCACGTTCCTGCATCCTGGCCTCTACTTCCGGACAGTCGACTGCCCTAGAGAGCTCTGTAGACTCGTGCGTCGATCGGATTCATTCAATTCAGGTAGGTTCGTTGACCCTGCCATCTGCCCCTTCGCACCCTGCCAGCAGCCAGCCTGCCAGGTAGCAATTAGCCTTACAAGGGGCGCAAGAAGATACTCTAATCGAAACCACCGTTGGTAAAATCTATCAAGGGATACCAATCTGACAAGTCACGCAACACAGATTCCACAACCACCACCACCACGATCATCCACACTTTACCGAGAACCTACGTACCTGTCATCGACACCTCTCCCATACTTCAAAGCTTCTGAAAATTCCAAAATGCGTCTCCTCTCGCTCGCCCTCTTCCTCTCCGCCGCCGTGGCGCTGCCTTCCGCCGAGAAGTCCTGCTCCGGCGTAAGTACTAAGTCTCTCACATACCTCCCCTCTCCATGCTCATACTCATGCTCATCCTCTCCTTTCGACGGCGAGCTTGGAGTACTGCCAACTACCGCGCACGCAAGTTAACTAACTCCCAAATAAAGGTCGGCTTCCCCTGCGGTAACGCGACCGTGAACGCCTACGACTGCTGTGTTCCTCTCGTCTGTGGCCCGGGCGCGGTAAGTCCTAAGTCCTAAGTCCTTTCTCTCTGCCTCGTGCGTCATCAGCATCGCCAGGATGAAAGCTGACAGAACCGGAACCGAACTAGCAACCTGTTTGCCAAGAGCCTCGTTCTTATTCATCTCGCAGAAACCGAATGTGATCGTGGAGGAAAGCGCAGAGAGAGGGATGTTATTCTTCAGTGCCAATCGCTATTAGAGGATGGTTACCATAGATGGGCAGTGTTTGGAGTCAATCATAATGGCCGGCAGATATGGGTTCCTCTTCTTGTACTTGTAGATTAATCTTGTCGATAATGCAGTGTCATACCGCTGTTACTTTTTTTGTTTATGAGAGCGGAGACGAACGGACGATAAGATAGAGAGGAATGGAATGCTGACTTGGCTGACGCAGATATAGATCGATAGGCACTAGTGATAGGGTCGTAGTCTACCTTTGCTGCGAGACCGCTTAAATCACCAGATACTGGAACAGTCATGCGGATGGAATGATTGATCCCGGCTACAGTTACGAACTTGAACAGGCAGTTACAATCAGTATGAAATTGCATGTACAAGAGAATACACAAGGAAAACAGTCGATTCGGCCCAGGGGGTAGACATGAATAAAAAGTTATATCTACTGTGGGAACTTGGAGGTACACTGAGAATGGTATAAGGTGGAAACTGTCGTTGAACACACAAAAAAATGAAAGGATATATCCTGGGCCGACAGAAAATTGAGAATAACTCCAAACCTTCCTAGATTCTCTCAAAACGCAAGCTCAACCCGCGCTTAGTTGAAGGTGTCGAAGCAACCCCAGTAGCGCTCGACACCGAACTGACCAGGCTCCTTCCACAGGTCATCAAAGTAGGAGAAGAAGACAGACTTGGAGCCGACTTCCTGGGCAATGGACTTGATGGCGATAGCCTGCTCGGAGGCACCGGGAACAGCCTTGCCGTTGGCTTCACCAGCGTGGGGCCAGCCAGTCTCCAGGTTGAGAACATCCTTGCCAGGGCAGATGCCCTCAAGGACCTGGATTTCCTGAGCAACGAACTTGCCGGCCTGGTCGGCAGAGACATCGGCGTTGAAGAAGGGGTGGATGTTGGCACCAATGATGTCGACAACACCGCACAGAGTGGAGCCAGAGGCCTGCCAGACGTTGATGGGCTCGGTGGTAGTGACCTTGCCGGTGTAGCCGGCCTGCTGGAAGGCGGACTTGGCAGAGGAGATGAAGCCAGCAAGGGTGGAAGCATCGCAGTAGCCGTTTTGGATGGCCTCGTTACCGATAACAATCAGGCTGACGAGATCCCACTGGGCCCACTTGGAGATCGAGGTAATCTGGTCCTGGGCACCGGAGACACCAGAGCTGCTGATGAAGACACCAAGGATCATCTGGAGACCAGAAGTCCGGGCGGCCTCACCAATGTACTCCAAGCTGTTGCAGTCGACCGAGTAGAGACGGACGTGGGAGAAACCCTTGGACTTGAGGTTGGCGACCTCGGAGAGGACGGAGGCCTTGTCCTTGCAGTTACCACTCGAGGTGTAAGGAGTGTAGGTCATACCCATCTGGCCGCTGACAGCACCGGTGGAAGCAGGAGCGCTGCTGGAGCTGGAGGGGGCAGCAGAGCTGGTGGAGGGCACGGCGGTGGTGGTGGCAGGGACGGAAGTGGCAGGAACAGTAGAGGTGCTAGGGGCAGCAGGAGCGGAGGTGGGCTCGTTCTGGCCGGAGAAGGGGCAGACATAGGTGTAGTCGGTACGGGTGACGGTCACAGTCTGCTCAGGCTGAGTGTAGGTACCGGGAGTGATGACGGCGGGAGTGGGGTAGACAACGACGGTGCTGGTAGGGACGTAGGTGGTGGTGGGAGCAATGGTGTAGGTACCGGCAGCGGGGCAGACGTAGGTGGTGGTTCTGATCACGCTGGTCACGGTGGTGCCAGAGGGCTCAACGGTGGCGTAGGGGCAGACAACTGTGGTCGAGGTCTCAACCACAGTGGTCACACCACCGTAGGTGTGAGTACCGCTGGGCAGCTCGGTGGTGGTAGCTCCGCACACGGTGGTTGAGTCGGTCACGGTCAAAGTGGTGGCGGGGATGGTGTAGACACCAGTCGAGGGGAAGGTGGTGACGCCGGGAGTGGGCAAAGTGACCTTAGGGGCAGCAGGGGTCGAGCTGGACGCGGAAGTGGCTGCGGCACTAGAGGGGCTGACAACAACTGTCACGGTGCTGGTGCTGGTCGAGTGCAAAGTGGTGACAGCCTGGGAAGTGACGGGGCTGGGAGTGGAAGTCGCAACGGGGATCACTATTGACGTTAGCAGTGGCTCTTTGCAAGCGCTGTCTCCTTTTGATATGATCAACCAAGCATCGAGTCATATCAATCACCAGCTCCGGTCAGATTTCGGTCGCAACTTCGGGATACTTACGGGTAGGGGAGCCCCAGACAGTAACGACCTCGGTGGTGCAGCCGCAGGTAGCATCAGCTTCGGGGGCAGGCTGAGACAGAGCACGACGCTGGTGGAAAGAATCGTGGCCGTGACGACGCATGTGCGCGACATCAGCCATGGCGGTGCCCGCGATGGCGGCCGCGGTGGCCAGAATAGCACCCCTCATGGTGGATAAGAATGTAAAGATATTGCAGATTTCAAGGAATGCCCGCTGAACGAGTGAAGCGGTAGTGAATAAAGCGCTTGTAAAGGAGGGGCGCGGTGGCCTCTTTTGTTTTCTTGAGATGAAGAGACTTGAGGAAGTTCGGGATAGAAAGGAGAAGAAGAAGAAGAGAAGGAAGAAGGGAAAAGAGAAGGAGAAAAGAGGCGAGTAGGGGCGGCCAACGGGTGGTAGAAAAGCCAAAAGCCCACTTGATGTGATCGTGGCCGGGGGGACCCCCTGGAGTCTGGCACAGAGACACAGAGAGAGAGAGAGAGAGAGAGATACGACGTACGTTAGTTCTGGACCCGAGACTAGCACCCCAAAAGGGGGAAGTTGAAGGAAATTAGCCTAGCTTAGTGCACACTCCAGCAGCAGCGGTGTAAGGCACTACTCTGATCTGTTAGACTACATTGGACATAGTCAGGCACCGCATCATGCTCATTGGCAGCTATAGAGGGGGCGTTGCAGGGGATCCCAGAGGAAGTCAACCAGTGGTAGTCCGCACGGCTCGGATAGTTTGTCAGGGGTGGGGGGGAGGAGCACAAAACATTGACAACAGCAAGAAATTACAGTCAACACTGGCTAATCATCGCTGGGCTCATTGTCAAGTTTGGGCTTAGAGCAGGTTGATCCTTACGATAATCAGAGATCGGAGGTCATAGGTCAAAAGAGGGACTTTCGCCGTGTCATTATTATTCAGAGATTTTTCACTCGAACAAGATCCAACTATTTTTGCGTCTCCATCTTCTACTCCGTATGCCCTATGCAATTGAAGATCCTTTCATCTAGAACATTTCTCCATTGTTCGATGGAGGTCTCTGGACTTTGAAGCAATATAGATTGCAGTGGCTGGTCCGGTTAGGAGACTCGTGCTTGGTGGTCCGGAGTACCAAGTACTAAAGTTATTGTTATTGTTTCAGCCCCCGTCCACTGCGTCTAGTCACTGTAGTCCGTATTGTCAATTTGTTGGTACTTCGTGTCATCCTGACTGGTAATCTGACTCTTATTGCATTTCTTTTTGACTCGCCAGCTCATCTTCATTAACTGGCCAACTGTCTGGTGACTTCATTTGATCCCATCTGCTTTTGACTTCCAACAGGAGAAAGAAACAGAGAGCTGTCCATGTTCAGGCAACTTGGTTCCAGCGGCAAAACACAGCAAGGCACTCATCTCCGCTAATGCAGCCCATGTGGAGATTTGACTCGTTACCATGCAGCTCTAATCCAAGATAGGTATAGTGTATTATCTGTGACCCTGCATTCTTGAGTTTAATTGGAGGTTGCTGTGAGCTTTAATTTCCGGATGTTCCACCCACAATTTAAGTCGGGATGCTCATTTTTGTGTGGATTTATTTTTGTGCTGCTGAATAGATAGGTCCCTCAGCCACCGATTTTACCAACCTCTGTTGTTATTATTAACTGCACCCATGAATAGATGAAACTCTGCACTGTACCTAGCCCTTACTCTCCATCTAGCCGGTAGGCTACCCTGAAGATCAGAAATCTGAATTAGGATAGATGCCTTGTGAACTGAATTTGCGGCCAATTGAGCAATGAGGCTTCTATCTTTGGCCACCATTATCATCTTCGTCTATAGTTTACAATAGCTCCTAGGGCTAATGGCTTTTTGACCAGCGATGACCAAACTGCCCCATGTAACTAGAGCTTTGAACTGACTGGTTCGAGAGCGTTACCTGAGCCTCGGCCAGCCACGGACATGCGTTGTATATTTGGCAAGAGGACGGACTCCTGCATTTATCCACCGAATGGCTTCAACGTCGAGGCTTCAGGACGGTCGCCATTCACGCATCCAGTCGATCAATGAGCTGTCTTACTATCAGTCCGCTGATCGACATTTGGACGGTACTATCCTCATAGTCGCTGGGTACTTTCCGCTTTCAAAGAGACATTCTGGATCTGACTATGTCCAGACTCGGGTCTGGTCCCGATAGTCTGTATCGATAGTCTCCATACACAGGGAGCAGTGTCCGTGGCAAATCTCAGCGAGGTGTTGGGTCCAAAGTTGGCTCGGGCTGAAGCCGGCAACCGAGACGAGGATTGCCATCTCACAAGTCAAATCCCCTATTCGTTAGACGCCAACTGTGGAATAGATAACTATTGAATGTTATCCAGGTTGTGACGCGCACGATCAGCTAGCTTTTGAATAGAGGGCTAAAATCTCATATCACGACCGTGGGCCCGTTTAGTCCCCGTTCTCTCCAGCACAACCCCTGACTCGCAATTCAGCATCCCGGCTGGACTGAATACAGTGGCTACAGCTTTTTTTACGTCTTAACCTATCATAATCCCTAAGTTGACAGAACAGTTCCTGAGACTGCGGGGTGACATCCCCAGAAACCCAACGCCCGGCAATTCCTTTCGCTTACCCCTGAAGGCTCGACCAACCAGCCTGCTCACTGCTCAGGGGGTGATAGCGCTTGTTACTACAGTTCGACTGTGGATTTTGAACAGTGACTTCGCTCAGAGAACTAGCAGCCTAGCACGTTGCTATTCATAACTGTTACTCAAAATTATCTGCTAAGTACGAATCACTCTCTTTGGTTATGAGACAAAAGTCACAATACCGTCCACTAGCGGGCTTAGGGCCGTTGTCTAAGACAAGGTTTCAATAGAGCCTTACGAGTCAGAAGGCCAGTCCCAAATAGGCATTACACTACTCTGTAAACTCAGGGGTGGTGTCAAACTGTCAATTTTCTGTTGATGGCTCCTGAGCTTCGGCTATTGAAGCGAGGAAACTTTGTGGTAATCGACCATCGGCTAACTGCGGACAACATATTGATGTGATGAGAATACATTGATATGCTATTCTTGGTATAACAAAATGACTATATGCCCTATATATCACAATCATTCGTTGCAGAATGAGAATGCTCACTGAATACCAATGGGTTGTGTGTAAAGGCAACCTACGATCAGGGGCTGCCTCACAACCCGATAGCCTGCTTAGGACTAGTTGGGGTTATGTAACAAAATGCGGATGCATCCTTCAAAGGAGCTGGGCTCTTCTTCCAATGTGCTTTCATTTTCGAGTTTATATTAACTAGAAGCAACGTTGTCCCATAAATCCACGATAGTTCTCGTTCAAGTTGTATCTTCGCTCTCAATCAACATAACAACTGCAGCATCTCTTCCCGTTGCATGACAGCAAGATAGTTCACCACTCCCATTTTTCCGGGTGAAGGTACCAGTCTGTCTCTTTGCTTGGCTTCGCTAGTCCATACTCGACGTAACAAGCCTCTGACCATTCAAGTCGGTCGATAATTGGCCATCCCCTTCGGAAACCCGAAATGCGACTGTAGTCCGTTAGTATATACGGAGTATTTCCAACACATTTACATAGCATGCCATGACCGACGTACAGATTGCCTGTGCACTGATCAAAGATGATCTTCGAGGTCCTAGACTGACCTGGTGCTACCCCGCACCTAAGTACCTGTCTTTTCATTATATTAGTATCCTGTCTGTCTGCCTACCTATGATTTGCATAGACTTACTTATAGGCGGCACGGAACTTGGAACGGATGTCTTCGCGTGCGGCGTCATCCAATCCCCAGAAGAATTCCTCTGTCAGAGGCTCACCAGGGACCTTTTCCCACACAAAGTATCTAATGTAGCCGCCAGGAAGGAGGTCGTGCTCTCCTTGTATTCTTTCCGCGTGGCCAAGGAAGCGAGGAACAGCGCTACAGCGTCCACTCTGCAATAGTTTAAAGGCCTCCAGGGGGAACGGCCTGTCCAGCCAGTGTGTGTGATCAGCATCCTCCGTTTCCAGTGATAGGAATCTGTTGGTAGACTCGCATGCATGCTATCTGCTTCGGGTCCTCGTCAAGGTGGCACAAAACTTGCCAACTGTTTGAAGAGACCCGCGGCCCATTCTGACATCGTGCTCTGTCATAGGAACTGCCCTCTCCGCGAGTTTCTCCGTGATGACCCACGTCCGGGAGGTAGATTCTGGTGACGCACCGTCTGAGGCAAGGTCATATGTGGTGACCGTAGTGCCTGCTAGGCCGCGGAGCAATCGAGCATCAAATATGGTCGTTCTGATATAAGGAGCCATGACAGAAGCTCGTTGTGGTATGAGGTGTCATGATGAAAGCTGCGAAGAGGAGGCTTTAGAAAAGCAAGGTAGCTCGAATCCATGGGTGTTCATTTTGGGGAAGAAAGGGTGACCCAAATTATCACGTATCGTTGACACCAATAAGGTCGCTGTCGAGCCCGGCACTGGTCATTAGTTCTCTTTTTTTTAATTTTGCAGTTCAAGGATTGGTGAATATGATATGATATCATTCTTTGGACTTCTTCCTCACCAATTTGTCTCTGCTGGTATCATCGATTTGCGATTAGAACCGTTAAGGCCGCGACTGGCAAGACTGACTCCAAGTCTCATTCAAACGGAGCTGGACTCTTCTTACATTGCTTTCATTTCCGACTTGATGTTACTAGAAGGAGAGACTATCCCGTAAATCTCCGACAGTTTCTTATTCGAATTGTATCTATGCTGCTCGATCCACATAATCAACACCAACAGCATCGTCTCTCCCGTCGCATGACAGCAGAATGTACCTCGGAAACCAACCAACCAACCACAATCTGGCTTATTGGTTATCAAAAAAAAAATGGAATCACAGAGAATTATACAAACCGAATCCTGACTTTCCACAGGCTAGCTCGTCACAGGGCAAAGTACACAGCAAGACATGGAAGTTGGAACATGCCTGTCTAAGATCATGCCACCTGCATATACGGCGACCACACCACCTCAACTCACCGCGCCACGATCCTTGACCACGCCATCCTATCATGCTCTCATCATTTGTATTCCCAATGATTTCTGTAATTTTGGTTGGATGGCGCTTTTCAGCCTCCGCATTTACCCTACAGAAACATCACGAACCTGTGGGTATCGTCGACATCTCGATTCCGGCGTCAGGTAAGGTGATTCGGAAGTACAATTGCCTTTGGTATGGTTCAATCGCTTTCCTTTGGGAGCTGGGAAGTCTCCAAGATATAAAGAGGGTGGTGGGTGGGTGAAGGTGGGATGTATATCTATATTCATCATCACTCAAACAATTCAGCATCAGTCTGATACCTCGCGAGGACGCATTGATCGCAGCAGCAAGCAGCGCATACAACATCAACCAAACTCAAAGCAGTCGTCGTGACAGAATGACGGAATCCTCCTCCTCTCGTCTCCAAAATGACTATGGAGCTGATCTCTGGGTTCGCTCTGGCGCGGAACGTCGCGTATGTACTTCGCTGTCACTATGCGCTCTTTATTGGCATGCAGAACTAACGGATGATCGGTGCAGCACCCAACGGCTGGACGAGGGCTCTTTGCCGGCCTCCAAGACGTGAAGCACTATAATGTCGACCATGGCTGGGCCAAGCGCAGCCAGGATCAATCACAGGGGCTGTTTAGTTTCCTGTGGAGTCGGTATGTTCCTTCGTTCTCTGTCCTTCGGTATATATCCAATGAGCTAACTGGTCAGGTTTACGGGAGGAGCCTATCGTCCCCCGACAGATTCATAGCATGGGATGTTGTGTCTTTGGTTGGTTATGGTCATGTTATGATATCACGGTTTAGCGTTCAGTACAGCATCAGCAGCAGCATAGCATTAGCATCAATTTCATTCATTGCCTCATTACAATCTTCCTTACCAATTACATTAAACAAGTATAAACATTAGTGAGGTCAAGACTTCAACGCCATCCCCCCATCTGACTGAACCACACCCCCCGTCACAAACCCATCCTTCATGAGCCCCAAATACCCCTCCGCCACATCCTCCGGCCTCCCAAACTCCCCCGTCAACGACCTCCCCTTAAGCCTCTCAAGCGTCTCCTCAGGAAACCCATCGAACAGCTCCGTCCGCACCGCCCCCGGTGCAACAACATTCACTCGCACCGGCGCAAGATCAACCGCCAGGCCCCGCCCAAGCCCGATAATCGCATTCGCAATCAGAGCACCGACACTGTACCCAGGCGGCGGCCGCATCGCCACCGCCCCGCTCGTCAGCGTCAGCGACGACCGCGCCGATTGCGCCATGTACGCCGGGACGTGCTTCGCGAGCATCAAGCCGCCCAGCACCCGGACGGTGGTCAAGGAGCGGATGTATGCGGGATCAAGCGCTGGGTCTGTGAGCGGGAGGAGTTTGAACAGGTCGCCGGCTGTGAAGACGATGTGGTCCAGGAGGACCCGGCCGTCGACGGCGTTGGGCGAGGGGCTAGACGGGAAGAGATCAGGCTGTGTGGCTTTGTCGAGCAGAGCCAGGATGTTTGCTTCCATGGTAGACTCGTCCCCGAGGTCGACGGTGGTGCCGGCTACTCTGGCGGTGAACTGCTCGTCTGGGTAGAAGGTGTGGAGGCGGGAGACGGCGGACTGGACTTTCTCGGGGCGGGAGCTGGCCACGAGGACGCTGGCGCCGTGCTCGAGGGCGGCGCGGGCGACGGCGAAGCCGATGCCCGAGGTGCCGCCGATGATGAGCACGCGGGTGCCGGAGAGCTTGTTGGTGGAGATGAGGTTTGGAGTTGGGGTTGTCATTGTGGGAATATCTTTGTAGAACTAGTAACTGTTGATGTAGGAGGAAGTAGGGCTATGTTGGCGGATGGAGAGTGGAAGGGAGAGAATCTGCTCTCAAGCTCCAACGCGAATGCTGCTGCTGCTGATGATGACGATGATGACTCTTATGTACTCTGCAACATGAACAAAGGTACCTTACTGATTACCAAGCATGGTGTTGAAACAGCAGGGATCCGTTCTCACTCCATAAGCTCTGCAGCATCTTATGTCCGCCAGCCCTGCCTATCTCCGACTGACTGCACAGAGTCGAAGGGAGGCCAGAGAGGGACCTATTCCATGTAGAACAAAATTGATTGTTGGTCACTACAAGAACAGTTAACCGCTAGACACATAATGATACAAGACTCCGTAACCCAAGATGACCCAGTGTCGCCAATGACATCCAGCGACGCCATTTCTAATGATAATGGTATATATTTTGTCGTAGATTAGTTTTGTTCGCAGTGCATCTAGTCCCAGCCAGCGATCTTCATGGTTCCCTTCTCCTGCAGGTTCTGGTGCATCTTGAAGGCCTGGAAGAGCAGATGGGGCTCGTGACCCATGCCCTTCTTCAGGCACTCGTATTCAGCCCGGTCCAAGTAGTCCGTAAGGATGGGCTGGTAGTCGGGGTGGGCGCACTGCTTGATGATGACGCGAGCACGTTCGCGAGGAGACAGACCACGCACGTCGGCAAGACCCTGGACAATGTCAATTGAATCCAACCAATGATTAAGAAGATAGCTTACCTGTTCAGTCACAACGACGTCAAGATCGTGCTCAGTCTGGTCAATGTGAGTGCAGAAAGGCACTATGCAGCTGACACCGGTAGGATCGATCTTGCTGGGACGGGTACTGGGGGTGTGCATGATGCTGTACTTGGAGTTGCGCAGGAAGTCGGCAGATCCTCCTAGACCATTGAGCATCCGAGAGCCCATGACACAGGTGCTGTTGGCATGAGCGTAGATATCCACCTCGACGGGAGTGTTCATGCCGATACATCCAATACGGCGGATGATCTCGGGCGAGTTGGAAACCTGCTGAGAACGCAGCAGAAGCTTGCCCGCATAGCGTTCCCAGTTATCGTAGAACCGCTTGAATCCATCGGGGGAGAACCGGATGGAGGTGGCAGTGGCAAAGTCCAAGTTCCCACTGTCGAAGAGATCCAGGAAGGAATCCTGCAACACCTCAGTCCAGACCTTGAGGTTGGTGAAGTCCGCACCGCCCTTGCTCAGGCCGCCAATGACCGCGTTGGCGATGTTTCCAATACCGGACTGGATGGGGAGCAGGTTCTGGGGCAGACGGCCGTGCCTGACCTCGTGCTTCAGGAACTCGATCAGGTTGCCGGCAATGGCCTGCGAGGTTGCATCCTCGGGCGCGTTGGGCAGCGTCTGGTCCGGGTAGTCGGACTCGACAATGGCGACGACCTTCTCCGGGTCGACGGGGATGTGGGGGGTTCCAATGCGGTCCTCGGGCTGCATGATCAGGTACGGCTTCCGGCGCGGAGGAACTTCCGACATGGTGATATCGTGCAGACCCTCGAACGACGGACTGGCCGTGTTGACCTCGATGACGACCTTGTCGGCCATCTGGATCAGTTCTGGGGACGCACCGACGGAAGCACCGGGAATGATGCCTCCATCCTCAGTGATGGCCGACGCCTCAATCACAGCAACGTCGATCCTGTTCTTGGGCTTGTTCAACGTGTACCAGCCCTGTCACGATTAGCACCCGCTCTGTTTTACGGTCTTGGGGTTTCTCACATAGACAAGGTCCGAAGGAAACATGCTCAGATGCTTATCGAAGAACTTGATCTGACCGTTATTGATCCCCTTGGCAATCTCCTTACCAACCTGATGAGGGCTCCGCCGCTCAATCATATTCAGTCGCGCCCATCGGTTCTCTGTCTCGGCACCTGAGGAGGCACCAACGAACAAGGTGTACTGTAGCTTTCCCTGCAGGTTGTTCTTCTCGACATGATCAGCGAGCGCGGTAGGCACTTTCCTAAGCAGAGCAATCAGGCGTCAGCTGCGATACTTGCTGTCGATCTCAAAAGGTCAACTTACTTGGGGTAGCCAACACCCGTGAATCCGGACCAGCCGATGTATGATCCATGGGGAAAGAGATCGATGAGATCTTCAGCCTTCGCCAACTTCTGGAGGTAGGAGGGCCGTCTCACACGGCTTTTCAAAAGTGCGGACGCAGCCATTGTGTGGTGGGAGGTTTAGAGTGAGCGCAAAGAGTGGAGAGGAGTTGTCAGAGGGGGGAAGAGAAGGGGAAAGAAAAGAAGGAAGAGGGCGGATGGGATGACGAGAGAGGAGGAAACGAAGGATAGAAATAGTTGCGCCACGGAAACAAACTCCCCACGGGCAGCGTGATTGATTGCCCAAGGCGGAGAAATCCCCCTGTCCGGGTTACGGAAATGGGAAGTTGAGGTATTCTATGCAATAGGAGTAGTAATAGTAATAGCCATGGTCCCCTTTAAACTCTCTAGAGGGTAACTGGGTGAGTGGGCTCATATACTAAGGATCCACGGAGTACAAGCATGCTCAACAGCATAGATCTCATCATTTTCCCCAGAGGACAAGGCAAAGAGAGCACTCAATTAAGCATGACTGGGATACTTTCTGCCTTCTCAACCCCAGATTCTGTTCTCTTTTCTTGATTCCCTCCGGATTCCCTCCAATGTCTCAAAACGTTCTTTTGTTTCTTTCCGGTGCGTCATTCACACTGACGTCACGCGGCAAACTCTCGGCCTTTTCTCGTTTTGCTGTTCCTCCTCTCTTTCTTCCACGCAGCATCTGGATATAACAATGATAAAACTACTGCTGAGTTATTCGAGATCAACTATTGCATATCAGCAGTTTCCGAGTCGAATAACAAATAATCCTCCAAAAAGATCATGCTCAAGCTTAATGACTGTCTGGACTCGATCCCGAGGACGCCAACTCCGAGCCTTGTCCGGGTCTCGCCCATCGGCCAAGTCTCGGGCTGTATCGGCTATGGATGTTCGGCCACACGGAGCTTTCGACGCTTCCTTTCAGCTACAGAGTTCTCCTGAAGGCAGTGTTCGGCTGTTCGACTTGCAGATGACAGATCAGAGATTTCCAGGTACCCATCAGAACCAAGGTTGTCTCATCTCCAGACTCACTCCGGATTTCCGTGTCCGGACTGTGGGTCGAGAAGTTGATCGGGGGTCTATGTTATATAGTATATATCCCCCGCGAGCAAAACAAATCGCAAATGCGTTCAAAGGATCAATCATTCTTAAATCATAAAGCTAGGCAGATATGCCGATTCCCTAAAGTACAAGTATAAATAGATAGACCAATCATATTTCATCCATCCCAGGACCCTCTACACCAATCCCAGTCAGGATCTCGCTGTTGGGCTCAGTGAGCCTCGCCAGACAAGACTCCCGACGATAAACAGAAAAAAACCCCCATTTGTGCAACCGTTCAGTCTGTTCGCTAACCATACAGTTTGGAGAAACGGCACTGCTGTGATCATGAAAGGAGAATATGTAACAACAACCACCGAAGCGTTGAGAAGAAAGCATCAAATTAAAATCATAGATGGAGTCAAGACAATTGGCCAGCTTGAATCTGCCTTCCGCGTTCATCGGGTCATTGCTCCTTGGACTCAGGTGCCGCGGATTCTGCGTCAGGCATCTCGGCATCTTCCTTATCACCCTTCTCCTCGGCGCCGGCCTCTTCCGTCGCGCCCGGCGGGGCCTTCTCCATCTCCTTCTCAGGTTCAGGGCCCTTAATCCACGAGCGGAATCGTTGGTTGGACTCGTCGACTTGGTCCTTGCTGAGCCCCTGCGCCCAGCTGGGGTTGTTGACAAACTTTTCCATGAACCGATCGCGCCGTCTCTCCTTGACAGCGGCCTCCTCCTTGGCGATGTCTTCAGGCGACTCCTCTGAGGGAGCCTTGGGACGCCACCACCAATCGCAGCTCCCGGGTTCGTACAGAATATGATAGCTGTTGGCACAGATCCGGATGATAAGACCATCCTGATGGACCAGCGGCCGATAGTAGCGATTGTACTCCTCTTCTTGCTCAAGCTTGGGCGGCAGGTTCCGCTTTAGGAAGGGCATGCGCATCTGCGAAAATGGAACACCTTCCGTAGGATCACGCATCGTGTAGGCAGAGACGTAGTACGACCAGCGCGCTTCCTGGCTCAGCTCTTCGTTCTCCAAGGTTGCGTCCTCTGGGGTGAGCAGCTGCACGGTGGTCTTCTTGGTTTGAGGGTTCTATAAAACGTCCAGTCAGCTTTGGACGTGCAATGATGGACCAAACAGAGGGAGCACTTACATAGGTAATACGATAGATATCACCGTCCTTGACTAGCCTCTCCACCTGCTTGCGGTACTGGATCTCCTGGTTATGTGTCGTCTCCTCCCTGTCCCGCTCCTTGAAGAAGAGATTGATAATATCGGCACTGCGATCCTTGGAGTCGCCATTGAAGATGGAGCCAGCAAACTTGGCGATTCCGGCAAACATCTTTTCCAGGTTGTACAGCTGGTACCCGCTTCGCAAGTAGTAGCGGCGGAGTGTCTCCTCCAAGTGCGAGGCATCCATGTCGCCCTTGATGACCTCCTCGCACATGCGGACAATCTGTTGGTACAGATTGGCCTTCGGGTCGCAATCGTAGAAGAAGTCGGTTGGAAGCTTGTCAATGAGACCGAGGTCACGGGCGGGTTTGGGGATCAGCGCCCGGCGCACATGCTCGTGAGCGTCCTTCTCGTGCATCTTGATCCGCAAGAGTCGCGAATAGAGGATCTCGAAAGTGCGGAAGAAGCAGTAGATGTTCAGATTGGCATACAAATGATGAACCTTCTTGACGTAGGATTCATTCAGCGCGTATTCTCGCTGCAGATTGAAGTTCCCTTGCCCAGGATGTTCCATCCACTTCAGCTCCGCAACGTCAAACGCCTCAGCAGGCTCGGGAACGGGAGTTGATGGGACCAGAACGGCATCTGGGGTGCCATCACGGCTGGCGGGAGTACTGCGGTCCTTGTCCGACCGATTGGCCTTTTCACTGCGCCGCTCGAGCACATCGCGGAGGAGATCCATCTTCTTTCCATTCACGCCTTTCCGATTGCGCCAAGTCGAGACGTCTTCGGCAGCCAAGCTCTCGTCGTCACCGTCTTCCCCGGACGGAGAGTCACTCGAGATCTCGTTCATGTACATGTGGAAAGTATCACGATCCATGCCATAGAAGATCGGCACAAAGTCTTTGATGAACGCCATGACCTTTGAGGGATCGGCTCCGAATCCAGCAGAGTTCCGGTCAATGAAAAGTAATAGCAACTGAGTGGCGTCGATAATGACAGCCGGATCATCAAAGGTAAATTCGAACTGATGTCTGGGAATCTGGAATCCGCTCTTGCGTAACCCCCTGGCGTCCTCAAACTTGCTCTGAATCTCGTTCTGGATATGCTTTGCCACAAATAGCTTCTTGTCGGTCGCTTTGCTGGCAATTGCTTGATGATCCAAACTGCGCCAGTACGCTTTTTGCGTTTGCTCCCGCCAGACTTTATCCCACTCACGCTGCGCCAAAAAATGTTAGCGGTTTATCTCTCAGCATAGATTATCCGAATAACTTACCTGACTGGCTTTCCACTCTTCGCATTTCTGCTTCAGACGGAAGAGCACAATCGGAAGGACGTGGCACGGTCTATCGAACATTTCACGGATGATTCGCCCTCCGCGCTGTCGGTCGTATACTTTCTTGATGACTCGCTGGTAAATAGCCTCACTCTGGCCGCCAAGACCTGGCGGGAGTTTAAAGGCCGCTCGTTCCGCCTCAGTCATCACCAGGAATTGTTGAACAATCGGTTCAATAAGCTGAATTGTGCGAGTACAGGCCTCGATATGGTGGTCATAGTCATGTCGGTCCTCTTCAATACGGTGCAAAGCATCTTCAAACTGATTCTTGCGGTGGGCCACGAATCCAGAGTCTTCAGACTCCCAAGTGGGATGGGACGCCCATTCATCATTCAGAACACTGTAGCACAGTTGGTCGCGGCCGCTGCAGGGTTTCTGGCGCTCACGTTTCGGAAGGAGACGGTAGCTGGGTCCAAGGGAACGGCAGTGCGACAGGTTCACAACACCAGACTCCTGTTTGGGCTTCGTCTCAATGACCTTGTCTTCAGGTTCATCGATATGCATGAAACGCTTAAACCAGGCCATAAGCTCCGGGTTCGAGCCAATATACCCAGCGGCTTTCTTGATCAGGACATTCCTGTCAATGAGGTCGGTAGAGTATAAGTTACACAATTTGAGGAACTCGTTGAACATCGACTTGTTCCCAATGTACTTTTTGACTCGATCGAAGAAGGCAAACTCTTCTTGGCTGGGCGTCATCGTCTGGGTGGGCTGGATGGGCTCAGGAAGAGCGGGTATGAGCGTCGGCGAAACAGCAGGGACCTCTGCTTGGGTTGGTTTGGCATGGTGCACTTTCGCTCTCTGCATATTTTGTGAGTTGTCACATTCAGGTGCATGGCAAATCTAACAGTGGGAAAAGGCGAGAGAAAGGGTGACGCAACGTGCAAAGGATATTCAGGGAAGCGACGACGTAAAGTAAAGGGCCAGAGGGGTCAGGTACGGGTTGTGAATGCAGAAGAGATCAGGCGTGTGAATGGCGCGGAATTAGATTTCGCTCACCTTGTTGGCACTGCTGGTCTGTAGGGCTGCAGGGCGACCCGCCTGGGCATCAGCCATCCTAGCGGCCTCAGCACCCGCTGAGGGTCCGGAAATCGAAGAGGTCATCGTCGAAGGAGCGCTAGGACCACCCCTGCGTTTCTTGCCCTCCTTGGCAGAGTCCTTGACATTAAACTGACCCAAGGGCGGCATTTTCATATCCCGACCAGGTGTTTGTGATGGTAGGCCGCCCGCGCTTGGATAGCCGGGTTCTCCTCGCACATTGCTAATGGGAATCGCCTCTTCAGCTTGACGAGCAGCCGCTTGCTGCTTGGCATGTGCCGCAGATTCGGGGAGAAACTGTTTGAAGTCCTCCAGCAGATCTGGTGCAGTATTGAACAATTGGGTTACCTGAGCGTAGACATCCTGAATTGGCTTTGATTCGCGTTGATATGTCTGGAGGATTTCAAGAAACTGCTTGTAGATCTCGGGTGCACTGGCGAAGCGATTCTACCAAAGGGATTGTTTTAGTGAGAGTTCTTTTGCCATTTGACACCACCGTAAAAGGAACAACCAACCTTGATCTTGTTCACATAGCTGATTGCATGGTTGAACTCCACTGGTCCGCGTTTGTTCAAGTCTGCTTGCGTGCCCTGCAACATACCTGAACCAATGCCAGCCAAACTGTTCATGGGCTGGGACAAACTGGCGGCTTGTGCAGAAGCAGGAGACACCTGCATCATTCCAGGTCGTCCCATGGCTGCGGAAGCGGCCACGGCACCCTGAAGTTGTGAGACACCACGTTGGTCTTGCTGGTGGGCCATTGCTGCAGCACCCGCTGCAGCTTGCTGCTCTTGTTGGGTCGGGTAGTCAAAGTGATGATCTTGAGGCTGACCTTGTGCGCCTTGCCCGAACATGCCAGGGCCCATCATACGAGATCCAGGGGAGTAGGAAGCTGGAAGACTTCCTTGTTGTTGTTGACCCTGGGGCTGCTGTTGCCAACCAGGTCGCGCTTGATCGTAGTAGTCAGTGCGTCCATGTGAGCCCATGCCACCAGCGGGTCCCATGTCTCCCGCAGGGTCCATTGAGGGACGAGGTCGGGGCATATTCAAAGTATTCGTGCCTGAGGGGGTGGTCACACGGATCGCATCTGGATTGTCCTCTGTTCCACACTCAATGCGGTAACCTGGCGGCAGAAACGTGTTGAATCCCTGGATCAAAGCGGGATGCCCGTTGAAAAGGGTGGAGACACGCTGAATGACTCCCGGTGTATCAATCCTGGCTTGGGTCAGCGAAGAACATCCGAATGGGACAGAACCCTTACGCTTGGCTCTTGAAATCTTTCATTATGTCGAGGAAGCGATTGTAGACGTCAGGCTGGTCCACAAAACGAACCTTGACCTGGTCCAAATAACTAAGTGCATCCTGATGAGCTGGTCAGTATGAAGAGCTCCAGACGAGATGCAATTGAGGTGAGAAAACGGTGCTTGCTGTAGTTATCCCCGGACTGTCCACAGGTAACTGCACATGCCGAGACTCCGTCGAGGTACCAGATATGCAAGACTTAAAGAATACTTTCCTGTGTCCCAATCCCGAATACCCGAGGAGCGAAGAAGGAAAATAAATCAAATAAAAGGAAAGAAGGAAAGGGTACTCACATTGAGGATAGGTTGCTGTCCCTGCGCGAGAGCTGCAACGTTTCCAGGAATTGGGCCACCCGAGCCGTTGAACATCATGGGTTGTCCAGGGGGCCCGGACGGGTGCTGCATATACGTCCTTGGAGTGCCCTCATGCTGCATCTGAGCGCCGTAGAGACCACCAGGGGCCCCAGATGGTTGCATAGCGCCTTGAGGGCCGTTTGGTGGATTTGACCCCAGATTAGACAAGAGCCCATTGGGCCCGTGAATGGAATTTGGCACTTTCGACGCCACTGGTTGATGCAGGGGAATCGACCCAGTATGACTCTGCACAGGGTGATGCTGTTGTTCACGTTGACGCTCGAGTTGCTGGCGTTCCAGCTGCTCGCGTTCGCGCTCACGCTGTTCACGTTCTCTATGGACCATTTCCTCCTGTTGTCGCTGTCTTTCGATCAACTCACGTTCTCTCGAATCTCGCTCGCGCTCTCGGTTGAGGGACTGTGGAGAAGGGTGTTGCATTGTCTGACCGATACCCGGTAACGAGTGACCTGTAGCGTGTGACGGAGCTCCAGGGTGCTGGCCATATGCGGGTTGATGAGGGCCACCGTGACCCTGACTCAACTCCGCTAGCCCGGGGAGGGAGTGACCGGGGTTCTGGTTCGCGGGATGGTAAGGACCTGGAGCAACAAATGGTCAGCTAACGATCCAAGCACAAAATAGCATGTGAAGTCGTGTTCTAACCAGCAGGAGGCGGAAGGACTGGACCGGTGGGTTGTGACGATGGGCCCTGCTGAGAGGGGGGGTTCTGGCTGTAAGTTCAAAAGAAGAGTCAGCGAAAAGGCCTCTGCAAATCAGAAATGCTCGGTAGATTATAATACCTGAAAGAACCCAAAGGACGAGGTTGGCTCATCTGGTCCATCCCAGGGTGCGAAGGAGGGCCACCGGCAGGGTGCCAGTTATCACTGCCAGAAGAGTTCATGATCTCTGCATGAACAAGATGCAAACAACAGAGTCCTGCTCCGAATTACAGGAGGAGTATGAGGTTTGAATGGGGAAGAGGGCAGAAAAACGGTAGAGAGACTTTAGCCAAAGCTCTAGATCGGTTCTTCGTTTTTGCACTCTCGAGTGTTCTTGCTCCTGGTCATTTCACAAAGCCATCACTGTGCTGCAGAGCTTGGATTACCACAGACAAGATTAACACAAGGTAGAAAAAAACCAGGTCGGAGAAGAAGCAGAAGTATGGGCAAAGAAGCAAGGGCAACGAGTTAGAAGACCAAAAACAGCCTCAGCCAACACAAGCAGTAGATCAGTTGGGGATGATGGTTTGCGCGCGACGGGCCACGGCTGGTCTCCAAGAGACAAGGCGGAGGCTTTCAGGACGCTAACCACTTTCGTCTATAGTGCATGGCCCGGGACGAAGCTTTTCCGGGCTTTGCGATCACAGTCTGATTGGCTGATTGGTGGATTATTCTGCCCTCTGCTGACCTTTACCCTTTTTTCTCGTTGTGTTTGACTGTTTGACAAACTTTCATCATTCTCTGTGGGCTTTTTCTGCCCCTTTGGCGCTAAAAGTGTCACTCAGGGCTTTCGACGTCATTGACAGGAAGGATTCGGTGAGTACTCTAAAAGACGTAGAGTGCTGCAGTCCTTGAAATAAGGTTCTTGTCTCCATTGAGTTTACAACATTGCTTTTCGAACTTGGGATGACTATGCTTGATATACCCATGATAGTTTTTAATTTACAACAAAAAAGAACCGCAGCCGATATATTTGGGCAGATTGTGATTGTGATCCCTGAAAGACCGACCGACAAAGCATTACAAAACGAAGTGCTTCTAGGACAAGATTTCATCAAGCAAAGACCAAAATATCTCCATGATCCATTTATCACACTAGATAGAAGTATGTACTCAAATTCCGACTGAATGGTGATATTATCACTCGTGACGCAGCCAGCATATTTGAGCTGTAGATCAGCAATGCATCAAGCGTAAGGCATATACGCCTCCTCGCCCAGGAAGACACACAAAGGGCGGAAAGGACGCAATGAGCAGAGGTTGTGTTATGGGGAGAAAAGGGAAAAGGGTCACCACCGACTGCTTCTCGTCTTCTTTCTCTATTAAACCTCGCACCAAAACGCCCCCAAGCATCAATCATCCAAAAGAGAGAGACCACACATCACTCCAACCGAAAGCTAGGAAAAAGATTCTGAATTTGGAACTGGCAACTTGGATTGTGGAACTGCGGATGCTGCTAGTAACCTCATTTCTTCTGCACTATACTTTGCTCAAAAGGATTGCCTCAAAGTCTCATTTTCTGACCCGACCATCCAATTGTGATGTAAACCTATACGGTCAATAGTCTTACAAGGCGGAGAAGACAAACAGCTGTTCCGATAGTATTAGCTCCCTTGCAAATTTCACCAGAACGACACAGGAGGGGAAAGTAGAGGAAGGATACTCACGTTATTTGTAGCAGCAATGGCAATGCTATCCTCATAAGGATGCCAGCTCATGTGAAGAATCTTCTTGTTGAAATCGATCTGATCCGCATCGGTCTCTTTCTTCATCCGACTGCCCGGACCAGCGGGGCTACCAGCCCTGGACCCATTCTTCTTGCCGTTTTTATTCATAGGTGTCGGGACACCGACCTTCTTGGCCTTGAAGGCGGACTTGTCTGCTTGCAGTACGATCTCCGTTTCCTTGCTAGAGTCCGTGGGGTAGATCATAAAGTTGTTGTTATAACTTCCGGTCATAACGTTCTCCGCATCACCCGAGAAGACCACCTCAAACTTGTCAAAGATGCTGTCGTTCTCGTACGTGTCACACAATCGTGGCCGTAGATGCTCGTGGATTGGAATGGTCTTCACCGGTTGCCTCTCCATGTTGACATCCCAGATCTTGACTGTGAGGTAGTCTCTTGACACAATGTACCGGCCGTCGTGTGAGAAACGGACGTCCGAGATAGATGAGATGATTTCAGAGAAAAAGGAGCGAGACGAGGCATCTTCCTCTTGTTCGAAGACTGTCATGGAAAGTAGGGTCAGTCAAGGGTTTCCTGTATTTCATAGCGAGCGTGGGACCACATACGCTTCGAATGCTCATCGCACAACGCTCGCTGCCGCATGTCGGCAAGCTTGATTGTGCCTTTCGAGCTGGCGTACATGAACCAATTGCAGCTAGTGGGATGGAACTCAGCAGCTGTGATGACCTCTGTCAGCTCTTCCATGTTTGCAGGTTTGATATCGACAATGTTGAAGCTCTGGTCTTGAATGTTAAGGTTCCACAGGTTGATTCGAAGATCGTCGCTGCTGATGAAAGTCTCCCCATCACTGTTCACAGAAATGCTGTTGATGTGATATGCGTGAGCATTTGCATATGTCCTCCGAGGGACAGCTGCAACGACCGTATCATGATGTGTCATCCGTGGAAGCTTCAGAGCTGATGCATCCTTGAAGGATAAACGGGGCGCGCGCGGCGCCCCTCCACCACCAACAGCACCCGCGGGTGTAAGCTCGTTCGATAAGTTGTTCTCTGCCACCACCTTCAGCGAMTTGTCAAACACCTTCCACAGTTTTATTGTTTTGTCATTCGTCGAAAGGAGGAAATGGGAAGCGTTTTGTCGTCTACACCACTTTATCTTGTTGATCTTCTCTTCGATCTCTAGTGATTTTAGGTAATCGAATTCCGGCTCGTGCGACTGAAATTCGGTGTGAAACTTATACTCGCAGGTTTTTTTCTGGTTGACTCATTAGAACCTTGTGCATCGCTGTGGTAAGAAAGGGTCGTCGCTACCGTCTCGTTCCGCTCAAACAGTACTACTCTTCCCCCCTTGTCTCCCGTTGCCAGATAGTTACCGGTGTGGTCGAACTCGACAGTCGAAATGATATCCGCTGTGACAATGTTAGGATTCGGTTGTTCATTTCATTGCGATTCAAACCGTCGTCACGATCGAGTACCTGTGGTAATCGAGTGTACGACATAAGATGCTCATCATACCTTCTGTGATATCTTCCACATCGCCTTTGTCACCAAAGCATCTATTTCAAAATAGTCAGTGGCTTGGTCTGCGAAAGGAACGCATGAGCCTAGGTGCAACACCAGGACATCGGCAGAACCCATCCTTCCCGTCCAGATACCCATTTTTAAGCACCATTGGACATGAAGGAAGCAATCAATGATTGGCGTAGCTTAGACCATGGGACCCCTGTGACAAAAGATCTATGCGCTGGGGACTCACTGTGTGAACTTCCAGGTAGGTGTACCTGGCTCCCGGTCTACCATTTTCCTTCAGATACCACCCTTGACTAGGGTAGTTCAACGGATCCGAGATAGAAGATATCTATAATCCTGGGCTCAGGATCTTGATAACGATTCTTGATGGGAGCGGGACAGATGGGATCCGACGTTGTGGTAGGAAAGGAGGTTGATTTTTTTTTTTCTGTTCTATTTTGCTCTTGTTGTTTCGGCCAGGAATGATAGCGGCTATGACGACCAGGTCCGATGGAGAAGCGAGCCTCGAGTGGGGAAATCAATGAGGAGCGAGACGGGTTTAGACCGGTTCTATCAGTAGATATAGAAGGGCGAGCGGAGGAAAGTGCGGGAGGATTGCGACGTCAGACAGGATTTAGTAAGGCAGAGAGACCCTTGTCCGTAAGTAGGTGACTTTTTGCAGGCTGAAGACGACAAATGATTGACAGCCTGGGCTGATTGAGATCAGGAAGAGGGGTGAGTGGAGTAAAAAATTCGGTGTATTAGATGCAGTCAGCCCTTTTTTGTCCTGTTTTAATTGATTTTCTGAGGAAGAGCTGAAGAGGAGAGGATATCGAAAAATACCAAGCAACAACAGACGAGAGAGTCTGTTGGAGAAGCTTGGGAAGCAAGAGAGCCGGTGAGTGGGAGGGGAAGAGTTAGGTTAGGTTAGGTAGAATGATTAGGTCAGTTCCGACAGAGAGGGAGAAGAGAGAGACACGACAGTAGGAGTACCTTAGTCAAGGTGTTGAGGTGAGGCGGCGGTGGAGACGCGGGCAAACTGCTAGTACCTTGGACTACAGCAACGCAGAGACGCCCAACTACGCTGACATCAACCACTTGGTCGTTGTAACTCTGTATCTTTCTTTGTTTTTGTCTGGGTCATGGCTGGATTCGATGCTCAAGGTCGCAGACCTTCAACCGAGCGTCATTTCTGATCTTATTTTCTCAGGAACAGCTTTTATTCCTGAAGCTCTAAAAAGAGCTTGTCTGTTTCTTCCTAATGTCGTAAAGCCTGTGGTCCCGCCCACATGGCAATGCGATGATCCCATATGGCTATTTTGATGAATCACAAGCCTATTTAGACCATTTAAAGGCAACTGACGATAAAGGGCCTACTATAACAACTCATCTTTGAAGATGTCATTGCCGTATATTTATTACTCACTTCGAAACTGCTAACCTTCCAGTCTTCTTGAAATGATGGCCTGAGGCTCGTCACATGCCTTCCTGTACATTCCGACTCCATTAAGCCGAACAATATGACACCGCGTGCCGAAGCATAGGCGATCGATCGTCATCACTGTTACTTCTCTGCTTGACAATCTTCTACTGATATTCTTTGCTCAACTCATTTCACTTCAACTAGGATTTAATTTCCGTCGTGCGTCCGCCAGCAACCCCTTGAATGTGCACGGAGTGTCGCACAGATAATCCCCGCCATTGACCATGTCCGACAATAGCGCGAAGCGGGGCACTGACGAGAAATCCCCCAACGACCCCAGAAAACAGGGCGACTCTCGCAAGAATGACGCAGATAGTCAAAACACTCCGTCTCTCGCCAATCGCATCCAGAATTCCGCAGCGGGTCTGGCAAGGAGTGCTTTTAACGCAACCGGCTCATCCGCAGATGCAGCGCATGTGCTGGGTAGCGGCAGCAAAGCCGGACCGTCGTCCTCGGCATCGTCATCCGCCCTAGCAGCAGCAGAACAGTACAGAGAGAATGCAACTCCTACTTCGTCGAATCGAGCTGCGGCCAATCACCCTGCGGCATCGTTTCGGTCATCGTCGACAAGTCAACAAGGTGCATTCGAGCTCCCACCGCTAACCGAGGATGAATTTCAGCGCACATACAACGAAAGCCAAGTACACAGCAACATCGACTTCCTCCCCTCGACAGAAACAGAAACAGAAGCAGTCACAGGAAAAGGCAAAGGCAAAGCAAGCAAAACACCCTCTCCCTTCTCAAATGTCGAGCCCTCGTCCTCATCCTCAAACCTGAACACCGCCTGGCAAAACGCCCTCCCCACGACCGCTACCACTCTCCCATCCGACGGTGAAGCCGTCGTGTCCCTCCTCTCAGATGCGTCCTTCGACCCCGAGTTCCCCTCCACCGCTGAAGAGCCCTTCGAACCCATCGAGACTGAGCTCCTCCCGCCGCAACTGACACCATCAGAGATCAAAATGATCGAGTCCTTCCGCCGCCACGCCGCGCTCGAGACCTCAACGCTGACGCCGGCTACAGAACCGCTCTCGCAGACACACAGACTCACGTCCTTCAGTCTCGTCCCGGATATCGAGTCAGTCCTCGATAGTGTTCCAGCTGCGCAAGCGACGGACGCCACGGCGCTGCGGGATGCCGTTCTGATGGGTCTACCGGGTGCGGCGGAGTGGATTGCTGTCGAGGAGCGGTACCATGATGAAGTCTGGGGATACCTGCGGCCGACACTGGAGGCAGCGGCGAAGGAAATGGAGGCGCGTAAAAAGCAGGGCGCTCCCGTGGAGGACGGGCCAGCTGTTAGACGGTTGAAGATGATTTTGAGGCATATGCAGACCTGATATATATGTCAGACGGAGTGTCACCTTGTCCACTGGGACCGCTTGTCTCGATATTAAGCTTGGATCTTCATTGTACAATATTTACCGATACTGATGTAACAATACTCAAGCTGTTCAAATAATGCTCCCCAAGCGTAAAGAGAGCTCTTAGAGATGTACAACTGGAAATGAATCTTGAAGATATTTGAATTGTATCTTACAGACTAATAAGTTAATCATATAAGCATCAGGTGATATCATCCCTGCATCTCATCACAAAAAAAATATAGTACCACGTAACAAGACGTCAAATCAAATCAAAAGGGGTATGTATCAGAAGTTCAGAACGGTCGCGGCATGGGTTTTTGTCTTTCCCTGTACTCAAATATATGTCTCATGTCCACATCTATATCGCACGCACTTAGAACTCCAGGCTGGGGGTCTGGCCCTTGACCCGACCGATGACGATCTGGGCAGCGTACTTGGGGATGACTTCGTCGTCATGGAGCATAGCAAATTCTGGGAGAATTGTTAGCTTGGTACCTGATGATTAGAGGGTGGAGATGACATACCTTCCGTAGCATCACGGCCCATGAAGTTGTAGAGGGCGTTGGCACCACCAGGGTGCTCGTCGAGCCAGTTGGTCACGTCCAGGACAACACCCTTAACGACGATCCAGAGGTCATCCTTCTTGTTGTGCTTGGCAACCTCCTCCATGGTGTACTCCTTCTCCGGAATCTTGAAGTTAGAGATGTCGTTGGGCTTCGAGGCCTCGGCGGCGGCGGCGGGGGCGCCCTGGCCGCCAGTCTGGACAGCCTCAGGGGTAGCAGCCAACTGAGCACCGCCAGCGCCGCTACCGTTCCACTCGACGGAGATCTTGCCGGGGGTGGAAGGATCGATGTGCAAAGAAATTTGGCCCAGACGCTGTTGGGCGGTGGTGGAGCCGGAAGTCAGCTTCTTGAATAGGTACTGGCTGGCACTATCACCAGCAACACGACCGTAGACAACGCAGCCCAGCAGAGAAGAACCACCAAGACGGTTGGCACCGTGGACACCACCCGCAAGCTCACCGCAAGCGTAGAGACCATCGAAAGGCTTCTTCTCAGAGTTGAGGACCTGAGCGTGCTCGTTGATCTCGATACCACCCATGGTGAAGTGCAACACAGGCTCCATGAGGGCGACATGGAATTCATCGTTGATGTCAAAGGGCAAGTTGTGGAAGAAGCGCTTGCCCCAGGGGTCCTTCTTCTTGCCCTCGGCAATGAGGTTGTACTCATCGAAAGTCTTCTTGAGAGCAGCCTCGCCACAGCCGATCTCCTTGGCCAACTCCTTACCGGTCATCTTCTTCATGAGACCACGGCCGGAGTAGTGACGGGTGTGGAAGTCCAGGACATTGGAGGCCTTGCTGTTGAGGACCAGGCGGATGGGCCACTTGCCCTTCTCCTTCTCCTTCCACATCTGGCCCGAGACGTAGTCACGGTGGCCCAGCTCGTCCGAGAAGCGCTGTCCGTCCGAGTTGAGCAGGAGACCACCCTCACCACGGAGAGCCTCAGCAGCAAGGAACTTGAACTTGGCGGTGGGATCCTTAGGGTCAACCAGACCGGTAGGGTGCACCTGAACCTTGTCCATGTCAATACCGTTGGCGCCGATAGCCATCAGCATCTTCTGACCATCACCAGTGGCATGAGTGCCGTTGGTGCTGGACAGGCCGAAGGTGTCGGGACGGTGTTGTTTCAGGAGAGAGCCGTCGCCAAAGTCGGCGGCGTAACCACCAGTAGCCAAGATGACAACTCCTTCTGCGGTCTTGGTCTGGCCGTTCAGCTCGTAGGTGACACCGGTAACTGTGTCTCCAGACTTGTTKACGGAGGTGACGCGAGCCTTCTTGACGATTTGTACCCGCTCAGGCTCCTTCTCGCTGAGCTCTTCTAACCGCTGCATGAGAGCGTACGTGATGGCCATGCCGGGGAACTTGGCATCGTGACCACGGTGTGTGCKGGGATGAGAGTGACCACTTTATGGCATTAGCAACCGAACAAATGAATAAATAAGATGGCGAATGCAAGGCAATTATTTCACTCACCCAAGACGAGAAACAAGAGTGAGGTCGAGATTGAAAACATCCTGCAGCCATTCGACCGCAGCAGCGGACTTGTATGTAAGAACCTTAATCAGCTCTGGACGAGCCTTATCTCTGGCGGATTTGAGGGTATCTTCGTAGAAAGCCTTGACGCTGTCCTGGATCCCCAGGTCGACCTGCGTACGGGTGAGGGCACCGTTGATACCGGAAGTAGCCTTGGTGGAGTTGCCACCGAAGAAGGCTGATTGAATTAGCCTTTTGTAACGAATTTGCGATGTTGGAGACGAATTCGAAGGAACACTCACCCTGCTTGTCAAGAACGAGGACATTGCCACCGTTCAGGTAGACGGTGTGGGCGGCACTCAGACCGGACACTGAGAGACGAGACAATGGTCAGCAAGAGAGCCCGGGCCAAATC